AAGAGTTTATGATAAACTAGTAAGTAGTAACTTAAGTATATATCAACAATAGGAATGATCTTTTCAAACTGAAATACGTTATAGCTTACCTTTAACCCCCTGCTGCATTTAGGTTCAGTAGCTAAACCTTCTAATTTTCAGATTCTTCAAACCTGAGGAATAGGCTAGAGATAGCAGAAAATCAGGAATCTCAGAGTTTATCTGGTATGTCGATTTCTCTAGCCTTAAAAGAATAGTATGACTGCCTTATACTTTATCATAAAGACTGAGAATTTGGAATCTTTGAAAAAGAAAAAAGTTTAGATTATTAAGTGCATATCTGGGAACTCAATCTATAGCAGTATAATCACTGTCCCTATTTGTGGCACCGAGGAACACATGCCAAGTGCTTTAGTACATCCTCTTAAGACCTCTTGCACAAACAAACTTGTGAGTGGGAGTATATGAAATTTCTTGTGTTTCAATTTTTTTTAAAGACTGAGACTTTACCAACCAACATCTTCAACTCAGAGATCAAACATTGAGGAGATTAGAGGTTTTTCTTTTCCTTCAAATTAGAATACACCATCAAGTATAGTGTGTATGAGCAGTTTCGTCAGTAGAATTCTATGTTAGATTCTATCACTACAATCTACTCACTGATTTTGTAGATATGAAATTAGACAGAAACAGAAAAGAGGATGGTAAAAAATATTTTAAAGCCTCTTAGGTTTATGTTGTATCTCAGACAGTACTATTGGATATTTAGCAGGGATTTGTGTGTGTGTTTGGTTTTATGGGTTGAACACAGAGCCCCACATGGTAAGCAAGTGGTCCACTAATGTACCACTAAGTGACATTTTCAGGCCCTTCTTTAGAATGACAGCAGAAGATTCTATAGTCTTTCTTTTAAGAAATGTTATTTTTAACTTCTCATGGTTATCAATGATCTTGGAAGAACTTTTTCATATTTCTGTCCCACTTAGGCTATTTTTGCCAGGAAGAAATGCATAGGACTTTTAAATAAGCAGTTGAAAAGGATGATGACTTGTAACTTACACATATTCTATTCTCCTCAGCTTTCATTTGCTTGTTAGCATGGTCTGGAGATATGTTTGTCTTACCTATATTTAGAGTTTTCAATATCTAAGCAATTTCATTCTTAACTATTTCCAGAACTTCTTTATATCTTTATGAACTTACTTATAGTACATGTTCTTTAGTGTTTGAACTGGCTTTTGATTATTAGAACAGTATTTATATTTTAACAGTGAAATAATACTACAAACTTATGATAGTCAGCTCCCTCATTCTTGCTTAGCTCTGATTCCTGTTTCTCTGAGATAGGCACTTTTGCCTCTTTTGGTGTTTTTTGTTTTTCTAACTTTTCAAGCAGCATTTTTACATTTTTCTTGTTTTGGTGTTATGTTTTGACTTCTTACAATGGGTAGTATCAAATTGACATTTTTGTACACATTACCACATATGACTCTCCTTTCTGTGCTTGCAGTATTTTTTCTTGTAGTTGACATCATTGTGTCTGAGGGCACATAATATCTAGTGATTGGCACTGGAAATTTTTTTGGTGTACTGTAGCTTTTTTGGGAGGCGGAGGGAGTCAGTTTTCCATGTGTTCTTTGTTTGCTTCAGAGAGAGGAAGGTTTGTATCATGTTTGTTTTATTCATTATCTTGTTAATATACTATGTACATGGTGCAGTGGTCAAGTCAGGGTACTTGGTATCCATGAATGCACACATTTATAATTTCTTTGTCCTAGACTCAAAATCCCCTCTACTAGCCATTTTGAAATATTCAATTGTCTAAAGCAGTTACGCTAAGTCCTGTAGAGCATTATAAATTATTTCTTCTGTGTACCTGATCCCATAAACCATCCTTGTTAAATCTCTTTCCTCAATCTTTGCAGTGTCCCATAATCATTCTGTTACTTAATTCTGTTAGATGAACTATTTAGATTCCATGTAGGAGTGAGTAGAAATGAAAACATGTGACAGTTTTTCCTTGCCTGGCTTATTTCACTTAACCTCCTGTCTCCTAGGTCTATCTATGTTGCAAATGACAATAGTATTCCATTTGTATGTATGGAATACTATTATATGATCCAGTTTCTTTATGTCTCAATGGTAGTCTGATTATGTTTATGTAACCTGTTTTTTTATTTATTCAGCTGTTGATAAGCACTTAGATAACTCTGTATCTTGGCTCTTGCCATAGTGGTATAATAAATAGGATCGTGTAGATGTCTCTCCAACATGCTGATTTCCTTTGCTTTAGATATATGTCCAAGTAGTGTTATAACCAGTTTTCTCTTTGGGCTGTTGTCCTCAGGACCATAAAGGATGAAATTCATGAATAACAGTGTAGAATGAGCCAAGTGTAGCTTATTAGAATAAAGGAAAGCTCTCTCTAGCCAAGGGTTCCAATGGTGGGTGAGGAGGAGGCACCCATGTTCAGCAGGTTATATATATGGACCTTTGTGGACTAGTGAGCACTTTTGGTGGGTGTGTGAAAATTACTCAGTAAAGCAATGCAGTTAGCGCTTTTAGCCAGGATTCTGACTCAGGAAGAGCAGACTTCCTCTGCTCCCCAGCTTCCAACAGCATACTGTACTTCAGTGAGCCTTCCTTTTGTGTTCCAGTTTTGTCAAGGCTTACCTTGGTTTATTAATGTCTCTGTCCTAGCTGTCTGATATTTGTGTATCTCTAGGTCTCAGTGGGATGACAGGATCGTATGTTGTTTCTCTTTCTTTCTTTCTTTCTTTCTTTCTT